ATCAATACGCATGCTCAGTCTGAGAGCTATATTTAGAACACTATATATAAGGAGCTGCGAGAGCCCGCTGCTTCCTTTTCGTTCTGGAACTCTATGAGAAAGGTAGCTGCTGATCATATTTTAAAATTTTTGTTAAAATCTTAATCTAGGTTTTTAAATTCCCGCCCTCCGCAACCCTTTTTTCTGCTGTGCCTGTTTTACATTTCAGGAGTCAGCTATCACAACGCTTCGTCATGATTGGGACACATGTTTTATGCTGGGCGACGGAGTACCTAAATAACAGTCAATTGCTAATCGAATAGACATTAGTCAATTGCTTGATGCAACCGTTGTCGGTGCTCTTGCAACACTATGATATGATTCAAAGGACATCAAAAATGTTTGTGTAATTATCGGACATACATAACACGTGAAACCGTTGTCGGTGCATTTTAATTATGTTAATTCTGCAAAATTTCATATTTGACTACTCCTCTCAGCTGAAATTTAACATAACGTTTTTTCTATTTGCGACCGTTGTCGGAGTAAATATGATGTGTATTTAAAGTTCCTAAATTGCTTTTATACCCAGTTATGATGGAAATTATTCGCCAAAAGAAATAAAAAAGTTATTACAAAAAATGTATTTTCTTCTTGTATAAGACTGATTTGCGATGTATAATGGCCTCTCGGGTTCGAACTAGCAACCTTCGTCCAGAAAACTCTTTATTATGCATTCATTGGAAAATAAACATGTATTATACGTTACAAAGTTAAAGATGTCACTGGACCGAAATTCACCGCCCTGGTCTATATCAAACATTATGCTCAATTATATAACACAGTTATCTATAACAAGATGCAGTGCGTAATAAGTGTCAACAACAATAATGTAGGAAGTAAATAAAGAACAAACGCGTATTTCAGCAAACATATTAATGACACCTGAAGCATAATAAAATGTAGAAGGTATTCCGATTCATATGAATTATGTGTCAACTTCTTTTGTTATGAATCATTGATAAGACAAAAAAATCACATAGGGCATCGGGTGCTTTAAATTTATGTAATTTATAGTTTCATCACCTTCAACACTATCGCTATAGGTTTATAATGTACATGTATATGTAAATATTGTTTACACAAAACGTCCTAATCAGGAAGTTATGGTTAAGTATTTTTTTATATATATATACACATTGACTGTGATTTTATAAACTAGGATACCTTTATCGTAAGTAGCTCTTTACTGATACATTTAAAATTAAACGACACCTATTCAATTTTGCCTAGTGAAATATTTAAATAAAGAAGCAAATTGTCTTATACTTTAAAAAAGGCATGTTTTTCTGCAACTATTTGACGTTATATATATATTAACTCACCTGTTTACAATGTTTGCTCTGTTTCCGAAGTCGCTCAGGAAGTAATTCAATTTGCATGGAATGTTCCTTAAATGAAGCCTTTTAAAATAGTTAAATTAATGCTACTCTTAGCTGAACTCTGAATGCTATTTCAACCAAAGGTTCAATCTTCAAATGTTCCTTGTAGAAATATTTTGGTACATATCGTTCATCGTTAGTTTTCTACTTTGATAAAATCATATCCTTGGAATTAGATTGGTCGTGGAAGAATTAAATCTACAGGGAGACTCCGGCTGAACTTAAAAGGAATGAAGAGTATATGAGTAAAGTATACTTAAAGGAGTACATGTATTCCCCTTGGTGGTAGTGATCACTTTTCTTGATATTGACATTTTTGTCCGACGGGACTGCGCAAAAAAAGAAAGAGAAACGTTAAGAATAAATACTTAAAGTTCCTACTCATGTTTGTCCTACGCGTGCTACTTTGAGAATTACTTATCGGAATATCCTTTTAGTTTTTAAGAGATAACTGTCAATAAATAATATTTGAGAAGGGCTCCTTGGTGAAAATACTTATAGGCATATTCCTCTTAGCTTTTAAAAGATAATCTTTTTCTTTTCTCATAACGGTTAATTAATCAGTTTTTAGAAGGGCTTTTTTGACGAACAACTAACTTTCAATGATTCGATAAAGCATTGAAGTACGGTGGCACAGAGGTGGCATATGTGTGTTTTAACCATCCCGTGCGCACGAGATATCATGTTGCACGCACGAGTACTAAGTCGTGCGCACGATTTGCTTAGTCGTGCACTCCAGATAATTATATTTACATTTGATCTCATTTATTAAATCTTTTTTTAGGTTATGCGATTTCTTTTTTACCAATTAGAAATATGAAACTTATATCATCGCTTACTTCATAAATATCTTAGAATTTATTAAATCCACATTTAATAATTATGTTACCATTAAGCCAACAAGATAGACCTTAGGGGAGGTCCCTAGATAATTTTGGTATAACTTTTGGTCCAACACTTTTGTATGTACATTATATTTATGATTAAGATAATGGTGTTAGATTGTGTAAAGCTATCATACAAAATATACATACTAAAAAAAAAAACAAAAAAAACTTGGGGGCATAAAAAGGGTCATAACTTAGTCAAAATTAATGTCTGATTTATTTGCCGAGGATAGTGACCTCGTAACATGATACACGACATAGTATTCCGTGCGCACCACTTAATTATCTCGAGTGCACGACTTAGTATCTCGTGCTCACCATTTAATTATCTCGTGCGTATGATTTGGCAACTCGTGCGCACGACATTGTATTTCGTCCACACGTGTTAAATAAAAGCAAACACATGTCAATTCTGTGCCACCGTATTCAAGTTTTGGATGGTCATATGTTTAGATGATATTTATTTTCAATGTAAAGGGTCACTTGGATATGTGTATTGACAAATACAAATCTAAAATGATCATTTTTTCAGAGAGTTTCTTAAACAAACAATGTTATTTACCATCTCTCAATCGTTTAGGATATATAGATAGATTAATAAACAAACAAGGTTTTGTTAATAGAATAATATATACCATCTGTTATTAAATTTTTACTTAGCTATAGTTTTTAATAAATGGTGGTAATGATAATAATGAAGATATTAAATTAATAAACATGGTACATTTACTCTAAACTTATGGTCACTCAAAACAGGTTATATCTTTAAAATCGTTTAAACGCCTTTCAATTTTGGGTCAGTTTAGATTATTACAAATTATTATTAAGGAAAAACGGATTCAGTAAATGATCTGAAATTTGGCGCTTAAGTTGTTAGTCAGAATTTTTATCAAATAGTACACGATACTCACCTCTCGAAATAAAGTATTTCCAGTTCCTTCATTTCACTACACTTTAATGAAGTCCCTTTCAACAGAATATACAGCAGAAATTAGTAGTAAACAAACATATTACATTATGTTTTTGTATTTGCTTATCTGTTAAACGACATAATTTTATCATCATTTATTTCCAAATGATTTTAATGAGAGAGTTTCTAAAAAAAAAAGCTTCTAGCTTTTTACTCGATCCTTTTTGCATTTTATGGTAATACATTGTGTATATATATTTGACTGATATAAAATATTGTTTAAACCAAATTATTTTATTTTAGACAGTTAATAAATGTCGTTTTCAAGATGGGACATGCACATCTTTTATGAACGATTCTTTAATCATAAATGTTTACAAAATAGATTATTTCATAATTCTGACAAATACATATTTGTTAAACTATTGATACAGAATAAATAATCATCATACTTAATAAATTGTATCTTATGCGTACTTTCATTTAGATAAAAAAAATAACGATTTCTTTCGTTAATTTCAATATCTTACTAGCAAACAATTTCCTTTACATTAAAATTAGCTTGCTTCATTCTTGTTTTTTTTTAACTTTTAAAAATACAATTCACGAATTTTACCCTTTCGGAAGGATCAAAATGTAAGAAAAAAAAAACTTTTTTTCAAATTTGTGTCAATTCTTTGAACTGTTTGAAAAAATCTTTTGACCCAATGAATGAACTCATCTTTTGAAGCCAGCTTGTTTATTTTCGACTTGAAAACAGAAAACATTCAATCGTATGTAAATTTGAAAAATAAACAGCTAAATTGATAGATCAAAGCAGGTCACATGATATTAGGATTGTACGACTGTTTGCTTTATATTGCGACCTTAGTCTTGGAAAAACACATAACACCGGGACGTAGCCATCTTAAAAAGGCAGCATGATTATCATAATTTACATAGATGTACACTGGACGATGCTACATACCAATTGTCTTAGTTTTGAATCAACTCGTTTCTCATAAATTATTGTCTTTTAAAAATGATGTATGACCAAAGCATTCATAGAAACAGGATTATGTATCTATTACATTTGTAAATATTTGCTGTGAATTTAATTTGTATTAACATTAACTTCCGCAGTTTGTACAGAAAATCACAAAGACGAATAAGAAATATTCACAAATAAAGTCTAAAGCAAAGACCTTTATAAAGACTTTCTCAAAATTAAATGGTCGATGGTAAATTTGTTAGATAATGAACACATAAAAATGTATCTAATTTAAGAATATTTGGTTAATGCATGTATGTACGACGTATGCGTGCGTGCGCGCTCATGTGTGTGTCCTTTAGTCGTTTGACACTGCTTATTTTCCTTACTGTTATTTATTAAGATTTAATCCGAGTAATCTTAAAAAAATGTAAAATTTCGTAATGGGATACATCAAACAAGAGGTATTTCAAAAACATATATCATCCCGTTCTTGACCTAGTTTATCGTTTAGTGTTATATCTAGTCAATATTGCGCTACCGTAAGTCATAATTGTTTGAAGTATTGTTTTGTATTTAAACAGTGTAATTAAGGTCTTAACCATAACATATGTGAACGTCCGTGTAGCTTTCTTTTACCTTGCAAACCTGTTTGAACTTTTGGTTATGATTATCTTAACCTTTTTATGAACATAAAATAACGTAATAATAAGAACTATGCGGGTATTTCTTTTGTTGTCGTTTCCAAGATGTTTAGTCACCCACTATCTCATTGTCTTATTTCAAGTTCCCATGAACAGTTTTGGTATTATGCTCAGAATAAATTTAATACAACGGTTCGACCGATCACACATAAAAGAATCTTGCAATTATAATTTGTCAGGAAAAGGGATCTCACAATGCACACCCAACGACGTTTTGTGCTGTTCATATTTACAATCTCTAACACTGGTAAGTCATTTGTTTTTCGACAAGGCTAAATCATTATATTAATTTGTATAACCAGTTTTTTTATATTTGACATTTGTGAAAACTTCTGAATATATTAGTACTTAGTCTAATAAAGTCTAATAAAGTGGAATGTTTAGTTGTATTATAATGTGATATAATATCAGTTTACATTTAAAATCAATTCAACTTCATTCATGTCAAGCAAAATTGAAATCTTTATCATTATAATTTGCTTGAAATAAAATTAAAGTTTATTCTAATTTAACCCAATACACCAAACAATGCAATGCTTCTTGGTTTGCTAACATAGATAAGGTAATTCTATTTTAACAGTGGGATATTTAATTAATGCCTTGATCACCACTTTAAATTTTATAACAAATAATCTTTGTAGTATGTACGTTACACAGGTGTATGGACGAACATAATTCAGCTGACCCCGGCTCAGCTAAATGTCATTGAAAATTCCAGTTCTATACTTACATGTTCAAAAACAAATGCAGTGCTTATAGAGTCGCGTTGGGAAAACTCTCAGATTACTGGAGTCGCAAACGTATATAACCTAAACAATCGATGTATCACAACGAGGTTTCTGAATGACAGTGACTTATTTAGCGGTGTATGTAGCAGTAATGGAACTTATGCTGTGATTCTTAAAAGAATAGACCGTAGTCAACATGGCGCTGAATGGATATGTTCGGAGACTTTTAATCAAAGAAGTAATAAAGTCGTAATTCAAGTATCAGGTAATGATTAATATATGTAAATATCACAAAAATATTTATTTATTATTTAACATGTCACTGATTATTCTTCACCTTAATTCAACAGCTGCGGTATGCTACTATGTGAACAATTCGGTCATTTGAACGATTCAATTATTATGAAAAGTCTGAATTTCGAAGATATATAGCAGAAAAGTAAATAGTCGTACCAAATGTATTCTAATGACCGTTTTAGATAGATTTAATTGACACTTATGGTTCAAACATATTTATTTAAGCTCGATTGCGAAACAAGTTCTTGCAACTTATATTAATCACTTTCGAGTCCGCTTCCATGAACCAACCAGTACTGGTGCCATATGGATAAACATGGTCGTGACCCGAGTAGGGCTCGAACCCATGATCTCTGGGTTGAGAAGCAGACACCTTAACCACTAGGCCACCGCTCCCCTTTGACACTTATGATGTACAGGCATATTAACATTGCGTGCTAAAAGAATTGTTACTGTTTTTCTTATTGTCAATTCTAACAGTTGTTAATTGTTATTTCAAATATTATTTCAAGTAATGAATATTTGTCTTTAATTTGTCTTTTAGAAATTATTGATGTTAAAAACTGAATCGAAAAATACATTGTAATGCATCATCTATGATATTTCCATAGGCAAGAAAGGTATTCAATCATTATTTCAAGCTTTCAAAAGTTACCTATGAACTTTCGGCATTTGTACCATGTTATATTTCTATGTATATCATAAATATCCAAAACATCAAGTCCATAATCTTCGTCTTGCGTTATTATAATTTTACGAGTCCAAACAATCTGTATCAAATCCATATTTTACTCTTTTCTGTACATATCATTATAAATTTATCAGTGCAGTAATGTACCGGACTGTATTCATTCTATAATTTTAATATACATGTAATATAATACAATTACACTGTTGACTTTGAGCATTTCCTTTAATTCAAAGAGTCTTTTCTTAGATATGGTTTGTGTGAAATAAGAAGACAATGTTCTAATTGTTGAATACAATAATGATTATATATGACTCGTACATACATATAACAATCTTATAGTATTGAATGACTAGTTTATTTTAAAAATAAAATCTGAAAAATAACGAAAATAAATGGTATTATATCTATTTCTAAAGATAAAATCCAGGCAGTTGAATTTCAAACTATGATCAGTATCAAAACAACTTTTTATAATCTGTATTTGTATACATAACTGTTAATGCCAGTAATAAAAAAATATGTTTTAGTTCCTGCGACAAATGTGATATTGAATCATACAAGTGACGGATATATGAAGGAAAATATTACAGAAAAAATCACATGCAAAACTTCGGCATCTCGACCGGCTCCAAGAATACAATGGTATCTTCGTAATAGTAAAATCGAAGTTGTAGATAATCTGACACTTTTCTCTTCTACAACCTACGTTGGTGCAAAATATGATCTTATGGCTGCTGAGAGTATACTGGAATTTAGGCCAAATAGAACTGTAAATAATCTACGTCTGTACTGTGAAGTGTGGACAGGAATGAATAATGCTGATATAACAAGCAGAGAAGTCTTTTTAAATATTTCATGTAAGTTCACTCACACTCAATGAGTGATCTGAAATAACAGTTGTTTCAGTGTTTTACAAAAGTTTGATTTAACTTGGTACATGAAAGTCAATCAAAGCATTTTTCTAATTGTAAAGCATCTTACTGTGGAAAGATTTTAAGTTGTTCAAGTTCCAATAAATCCGAATACTTTTAACCGGATAAACTAAATGTTTTTGCTTTTATTTCTGAATCTGACCACATCATATTTTTGTCATGTAACGTTGTGCCCAATTTATGCATCAACAATCAAACACAAGGAGGTCAAAACAAATGTTTACCTAACCTTTTCATAGAAAGTATAGAAGCAAATTTCAGTCATGAACTTTATGGAAATTAACGAGAGATCAAAATGCTTAATTACCGACTGCTTGATTAAAAATAATATTAAGTATACATTACAACAAGAAAATGACATTCTAGAGATAATATACTTAAATTTTTGTTTGATTACATCATAGCATTACACAAATAAACAATACTTAAAATCCTGATTCGAACCTGTTTCTGGATTGCCAGTCGAGTGTGCTGACCACTACACACCAGCGGGCTTAACATCATTTATTTAATTTTTGTTTTAAATACTTTCTTCAGTCAATAATTCGTGATATTTTATTTAAAGTCATATCCGTCTTTAAAGGGCAAAATCAAATAAGACAGAAATTATTGTTTAACCTTTTATAATTAATAAGTAATAAGCTATCATCTTCATCAATTACTTTATTATAATAATAAACTGAGGAATTTGAGAGACTCGTTCTTAAAATTAAGGTTTAGATTTCCTTAAAATATAACATCAATTATCGCCTACGGTCTTTTTCAGATCCCCCGACACAATATCCTATGATACATGACTTTGACATTAGTAAAGCTTTGCGTGTCATTGAGTCAGACACGGGTATGTTTATTTGTTCAGTGACCGGTGGAAACCCTCTTCCTTCGTTGGACTGGGACTGTTTCGGCAGTAAAGACACAACATCAAGTACTCAAGATAAGACTGTAACAAGCACAGTAAAATGGATGGCTGTACGGAATTATAGTGTATGTTCTTGCATGTCACATCAAATGAACAACTGGAGAAGAACAACTCCTATCGATATTGATGTACAATGTAAGTTAAATAATTCACCTTCTTTTGAAAACATTTTATTTCAAGCAAACACATCAATAATTATAAATTTGAAGAGAGTTTTTTAATATTAAAATGTGATATTGATATCGTATGTTGGGAAAATGTGAGTTTCAACAGAAAAAAGAGTCCTTAGTTTATTACAATTAGAATAAATTTGTAAAAATTGTTATATACATCACAAATTGAAATGCAATGTAATCATTATTAGTCTGATTAACTATTCATCAATTATATCTCTTTTAGATCCTCCGAGCAAACCTTATTTAAGGATCAAACAAACAACAGTATTTGGTAATGTTAGTGTTATTAAAAACAACACATTACTTATGGAATGCAATAGCAACAGTAATCCTTTACCTAACTACACATGGACTGGCCCAGGCATGTCTAAGAAAGGTGATACGTTAGTAATTGTAAGCGTCCAAAAAAGTGATCAGGGTTATTATGAATGCAAGGCGTCGAATAGAATGACCAGAACGAATAATTCTTACAAAGACGGGAGACATTCATCATCAGTCAATCTAATAATACTGTGTAAGTAAAACGCTATGATGACAGTGAAAATTATTAGCTTAAACGTTTATGTTTGTTAACAAAAGATATCATGATAACTAAAGTTGAATTTTTTTCATCACATTTATCAAGTTTATCGTTAATTGTTATATAAATTTTGTTTTATTTACATATTTTAATTTCATACCTCGTTCAAAAAATATGGTAAATGTAAATATGTAAAATGTAAATTTATTTGCTCTTTTCAGATCCTGCAAGCGATCCAAAGTTTAGATTCGAAAACTCTAGTGGACAGCTCATTCAATCAAATATAGTTTACGTAGTAAGAAATGATACGTTTTCCATTTACTGCGATGTCAATGGAAATCCTGACCCAAACATCATATGGGATGATAACAAAAACAATCCGAGTTTGAGTATATCTAACATCCAATTGGACAAAAATAGTACATGCAGAGCAACAAATGTAATGAAAGAAACTGCAAGTCAAAATGAAATAAATTCGAAATCGGAAGCATCTCTTTCAATTATTGTCTTTTGTAAGTTTGGTGTATAGTTTCCTTGCTAAAATATACACATACAATGTAGTTAAAGTTTTTATAGTATAAAAAATATAATTCTTTCAGTTTTGCACATACAAGCATACTTAAGTGTTAGTTAATTTTATTCATTTTGTTTGCCATTTGATTGAATATATTTGCCATTTCTATAGTTATAATAATCAAATGCGGTTTAACATTTACACACACTACTAGCAAAAAAAATCAAAATATTTAATTGCAGTGATAATAAATCTCATTACGTTTCATTTAATTCAAGATCCTCCAAGTCTTCCTACAATACACGTCTCAAACTATACTGGTGACAATGTTCAAGTTCAAAACGAAATTGTCAGTATTATTGAATCAGAAACAATCAATGTGACATGTTTTTCGAAAAGTAAACCATTACCAACTTATAAATGGATAAATGAGCAATCCTTTAAAACACAGTCTACAAACATTTTGAAATTTTTGAATATCAGTCGACACGAAAGTGGGACATATGTTTGCAACGTTGAAAATATTATGGAGAGATCAATTGGCAGAATTCAAGTAGGGAAAAGTAACTCAAAAATAATTTTAAACATATTATGTAAGTATATAATTCAGTACTTTATCTTATTATCAAACACTTAAAATTAAAGGGTAGAAAATATTTTACGGGATATTTTATCTCGAACATTTTCTAAATTTAGATAATCAAATATAGTTATGTTGATAATATCTTTTGATTTCTTCACATCGGTATAGCTGCATTTCGCATATATGACATTTTGTAGAAAAATCATTAAAGCAACATTTATCATTGCATATGATATTTTTCCTTACTGAATTGCCCACAACTTATTTCTTTTTATTTGTACTTTCATTTCACTATTACCCATTTTCAGTAGTTTTTGTTCATAGTCTAAAAGAAAATATTTTTCAATAATTTAAACGTAAGCCATAAAAATTCAGTGGCTGTTTTTTTAATCACTTGTTGGTATTGATATGATCTACGCCTTGGATATATTCTCAAACACAAAGTTCAACGACTCATTCCGAGAATGATAATTTCATACGTTTAAAAATGCTGTGTTATAATATAATAAAACTACGTTACCTTGAACATGGTGTTCTCATCGTTAACATCGTATTTATATTAAAGGACACTTTATATTGTTGATCTTTTGTATTGTTTCGGTATTTCACAATAAATCTTCTAATTTCTCTAATTAAATAGTTTGTTTAAAAACTATAATTTGTTATTTACAGATCCAGCTATTGTGAATGCTATATATGATATTAGTGTTGTTGAAGGATCGTCCTTTGAAATATTATGTCCGATAGTATATGGAAATCCTTCAAACTCTACAATTGCATGGTCCAGATTTAATGACAAAAATCGATGGAACAACATACAGCTATCTTTCAAGAACGTTTCAAGAGAAGACGATGGAAACTACACCTGTAGTGTAATAACTGAAATGCATCCTACAATCGGTAGTTCTTCAGAAATTGAAAGAAGAAAATATTTTCATCTAAATGTTTTCTGTAAGATATTTACATGCCTTTTAAAATGACAAATGATCCATATGTGATAATGTGATAATCTTTAGAAGTTTACAATAAATATATTTTTCATTCATAACTAAGTTTTCTAAAATAGACAAATATATTTAGACCGGGTTATTTTTCTGTCATGTTTTTAGAATCTCCTTATTTATTTCAGTTCCATCAGAAATAAAGCAATTTACGATATCCACGGTAGGCTCAGGTCGAACCTTTGTAGTAAACGAAAATCAAAACCTACCGTTTGAATGCTTTGCTGAAGCCAATCCTACATCAGATTTAAAAATAATGTCACCAATGGGTGATTACATTATTGAAGTATCACAGTCAAATATTGCTCGTCATATATTACGTAATGCATCATTTCAAGATGCCGGAGAATATATTTGTAGCGGAAGAAACAACTACACACGAGGCACACCATCACAGAAAAAGCTTATTCTAATCGTTAAAAGTAAGTATTCGAATGCTATTTAATCAATGCAAGTTTAAATCCCTGACAATAGTATATAATAGTGAAACTTACACTGTTATTATGAGAATTTAATATACCTGTACATAGAATTTATATAAAAAGTCTAAATGCATTGAACGTAAAATTTCATTACTAATATAAACATTAACGTCAAATGTGAAATATATTTCCTATCTGCAGGTCGACCAAGACCATCCTCTGGCGACACAAGTGCTATGAAAGTGGCAACAGTTCTGAACGTTGATGTAACACTACTATTTAAAGCTTGGAATTATCTTGATGAACCAAACAAAACAATGTTCAGTTGGTTCAAGGAAAATGTTTCCATTCCTAATAATGACAATAAATACACGGTACATTCAAATGATTTACAAACAAATATTACTATAAGGAACACAACTCAACAAGATTTAGGGTTTTATAAAGTAAATGTTGAAAATTCAGCTGGAGTGTATACTCACTATTATGAACTGAAAGCCACAGGTAAGTACAGTTATGTTGTTTTTGGTGTATTATAAGTATTTGAATAAATCTTGTTGAAATATTAATATACTTAAAATATAACAGTTAGTACCGTGAAAATATTACACTGGTTGTATTCAATGAACTTTTCACACTTGCATGCATGGTATATTGCAATTTAAAAAATTGCACTTTCAAACTATGTTTGAAGGTAAATCTGGAAATTTACTGGTTTATGAGTTTTTTTTTAATATGAATTTACAGATAAACCAGAGAGACCAAGGGACTTTCGTGTAATAAACGACTCAGTTACAGATACATCGGTAACATTAGCATGGAGTCCTGGTTTTAATGGAGGATTTCAACAAACATTTGTAATAATCTACAAAATGATGCAAGAACATGTATGGTTGAACAAATCAATAAAAGATAACGGTGATATCTTTATGATTTATACTTTAAATGACCTTTCCAGTCTGCAAGTGTATGCAATTGAAATGTTTGCAAAGAACATGGAAGGAAATTCATTTCACACAGAACGTCTTCATTTTAAAACTAAAGGTAATTAAGCATATTATGTATCTACTTTAAACACTTAGAGAAAGTACAGTAATATTTTAACAATCTTGTTATGTCATCTTACAAGTAAAGTCGAAATATGTTGAGATTGGGTCTAGAAATTACCTTAAACATATTCAAAAAAGAGTAAACGCATGCAAAATGATATACTGATCTCTGTAATGTATTGTCGTGTATAAAAGATGAGACGATTTACAAATAATATACATTTGAAACTATGTGGTAGAGAGTTGATGGCGCAAGTCATATCGTCATTTCGACGCGCACTAAATACCATGAAATTACCACATGAAGGCTATTATTTAATTAGTCCCCTACCGGTTTACCGGAGGGGACTTTAGGTTTACCCTCCGTCCGTCTGTCCGTCTGTCCGTCCGTCCGTCTGTCCGTCCGTCCACAAAACTGGATCCCGCGATAACGCAAAAAGTACTGAAAATATTTTAATGAAACTTGATATATGGATAGATGGCAGTATGGAGATTATGCACGTCTTTTTCTTTTCTTCCTATATGGAAAATTCTGGTTGCTATGGCAACAAATAGACTGAAAATATGGCAAATTTTACACATAACCAGGATCCCGCGATAACGCAAAAAGTACTGAAAATATTTTTATGAAACTTGATATATGGATAGATGGCAGTATGGAGATTATGCACGTCTTTTTCTTTTCTTCCTATGTTGAAAATTCTGGTTGCTATGGCAACAAATAGATTGAAAATATGGCAAATTTTACACATAACCTGGATCCAGTGATAACACAAAAAGTACTGAAAATATGTTTATGAAACTCGACATATGGGTAGATGGCAGTATGGAAATTATGCACATCCTTTTCTTATCTTCCTATGTTGAAAATTCTGGTTGCTATGGCAACAAATAGACTGAATTTCAAGATTTCTGATTCTAGTTTTTAAGTTTTTTCACTATAAGTTCTTTATTTCTTAAGGTATTTTCTTCAAACTTTAAATATAAGTTGCTTGTCATCAACCACATCATATGTGACAAGGTTCACAACTCTAGCACAAAATTTATCAGAATTACCTCCCTTGAACTTAAAATTTTCATGAAAAAAACATTGTTTTTTTTTTATTAACTTCTTTTTCTTAATGTATCTACTTCAAACTTCATATAAATGTTTCTTATTATCACTCAACATTTGTGAGTGTTCAATACTCTAGCAAGACTATTTCCAGAATTATGCCCCTTTTGAACTTAGACTTTTTTTTGAGAAATTGGTAATTTTTACTCCAACTTCTTCAATCATGATAGGATTTTAAAAATGTTATATTTTGATAACAGGGATGTTTAAAAAATAACTTTAGAGTGTCCTTCAGTCCGTCTGTCTGTACATAAAAACTGTTTCCTGTGATCACTTTTAAAGAACTTTTTCAACAAATTTACTTAAAATAGGAACCTAAGTGAATGGCCAATGGCCCTTCAGAATGTTGCTTGGGCTCTTACCGGTAGGGGACTTATGGATTGCTTGCAATACTATGATAATTGCTTGTTCATTATGTCATTGAATACTTGCAGTAGTTGAAATCATGTCAAAAATGTTTATATACAATGCAATTATGTCAATATTTATGTGATTTAGAAGCAATTTTCAATATGTATGTTTCTTTCTAGTAAATCACTTGGCTTTGTGAATCATTCCTCCCGAAACCACTTGTTAATTAAACTTTTTTTTAAGAAAACGTAGGCGCTATTTTGGTAAATTGTTTATATATTGTTTTTTTCCTGTTGCTTAAATATCATTTTATTATACTTTTTGATGAACAAGCAAGAATCCTTAAAATCGTTAACTATTTCTTTGCAATCAGTTCTACAAATTATCAAATGTTCGTCGAAAATAAGACCACGTTTTGTCGATGAAAAAAGTCAAAATTATGACGTGCGCCATCATTACCATAATTTAAGTAATGGAAAGTTTTACGTAAAACTTGCCATATTCGATAGTAAATACGTGTGTACGCTAAGCTGCCTATATTGTGTTGCATTTTCTGTAACCTGTACACTGTACACTGCATATACATGTATATGCATATGATGTATTATGGTAAAATATTGAACATTATCGTTTAGAGGTTCGAAATTAATAGCTTCGCATTTGAACAACGCACTGTTCTTCCCCATAATGGATTTTTTTTGCATTTGATACTTTCAATTAAATCACAAACACTTACTCAGGCTATTAACGACTATGAACAAAACCATTTCTTTCCCTTTAGCTTGGATTTTCGAGTGGTCGTTAACAGTTATCGTAAGGATGCATTATATTTTCGAAACCCGAAGATCTGACAAGTCAATTAGTATTTATTAACTTTTATTAAATCATGTGACTATTACTTTAGTTTGACTAATTTAATGTTTAGATGATGCTATAATGACGATAAACATCGTACATAATTTATTTTGCATAGTTATATTAATATAATTATCTAAGATATCGTAAAACAATATACAATCATTCAATTTAAGCAAGCCATAAGAAGACGAAGGAAGCCATGCAATCTTCAAACACTGGGGCATTTGTTGGTGTTGGTGTCGGTGCATCTGTTATTACACTCGCAGTTGTTGCTGTGTCCTTTTTCGGATACAAACGATTCAAGTATTTGACGTTATATTTTTCTGATAAAACAATACACATCTTTGAATTATAGTTTGATATATAACATTCATAGAAAAATAATTTGTGAAAAAAATATCAAATCATCATTTTTTTATTAAGAAAGAGTCCTTTCAGTCAAAATCAGCAATTCTTTGTACAAAGGCCATTTGAAGGCATCACATATATATACATAAGGCTGTATCGATGAGATTAAATTAGCTTAACCATCTAAAAATCTGGAAACAAAGTAATCCCTCGGAAGCATTAATCACAACAAAATTACAAGAGAATTACAGACTCGGTTTGATTGAATCTGTACATGAGGGATAATTAATAGTGCAACATCCTTCACGCCCCGTAGCACCGGTTTGAGCGGTAGTAAATTCTCAACTGCTTGTATTTGTCTTCATTGTTATTAAGCCACGTTGTTCGGTAGTTATCAGTATATTTCAATTAATGATCAATGTATAATGTCAGTTTATTAATGAAATGCGTATTCTTACTGAGATATTAATAACAGCCTGCTTATCAAAAGTCATTATTATCACAGCAACGAATCTTGCATTATTAAGGTGATAATCATACCTGTAAATATGCATTATGTAGGGAATAAAGCTATAAAATGTAATGAATATTAAGAATAATAATTCATTTAAAGGTCATATTCGTGCTTTATACATTTGTTATGAACCAAATACTTGAATGCTTTTTATAATCCAATTTTTGTCATATTAGAAAAGCAATTACCTTTCCCCACCATTCATGAATCAATTTTCAGGGGACTTGGTGACTGTTCTTATTAATATATGTTCAATCGTATAGACGCTTCGGAGTAAATTCAATATATTATTAATTTTACTTTATCAACTAAAAAAACATACTAATTATTATATGAGTCTGTCCAAGTAATAGATGGCTTTTGACCTATTAGATCAGTTTTGATCTTTGTCAGTTTGCTTTGCAGATTTACATTTTTTCTAGTTAATTTAGTTTAAATATATATATTTTTTTTGACATTTGATATATTAATCACTTTTGATTCCGCTTCATGGAACTAACCAGTACTGGTGTTATAATTATGAAGACCCGTAAGGGTTCGAATCCATGATCAGTGGCTTAAGTGGCAGTGGTTTTTACTATTGTTGACAGTTCAACAGTTTAAAAAACTATCGAAGGTTTCATTGAAACATAATATTGAATATCTTATAACAATGTGATGTATATATGGTTAAATTGTCTTCATTGCTATTTTTGTTATTTCGATACAAAAACTTGTGTTTTCAGGAATATAAAATCTTCAAGTCATGGAAGTCCCAAACCAGGTAAATAACATTAAACAATTAAAGTGGGTGGTTGATTTTCTGCCTGCATATAAAAACAGTTTTCTGCTGCTTCATGTATAAGTTATAAAAAAGGTGTTTAGGAATTAATCAACTAAGTTACATCTTGCTAACATATATTGTTCAAGCTGTTATACATTGTACTTTAAATATATATATATTGTGTAAAATCTTATTTAAATAATTATCGGTTTACGTTAACTTTCTATTATTCACTATACCAAAAAAAATGACGAGGTTGTTTATTTAATTTACACAATTTATTTACTTACATTCTCAAACATTAAAAAAACACAGTTGATTTACGATTACTTTATTATAAATATGATCGTTGATTTAGGTGTTACTGCCGGAAGCCATGCCTCATCAACATACATGGATTTGGAAACAAGCAGGAGAGATATTAATGATTATGATGATTTCAATGTACAATATGAACATTTGAACACTTCAAGCCGGGAGCCAAATACATACATGGAGTTACACAATACAACTGTCCCCATTACTGAAACTTCCGACTACGTAAATATAAGAATATGAACTTTCAATTTAAATGGATTTATTATATGTTACTATATTTCATTTTGTTAAACAGAGAGTTTTGGCATAAATTGTTTGCAAAAATTAATGCAATTTTTATGCTTAAATTTTATTAGAATACATAATAAATGTAAATCAAATTCACGGTTAAAGAACTCATTGTATAGTACTGTGCAACTGACACTGAAACAAATAATTCAAAAGTAACACCCAGTTTGAGAGGTATAAAATTATTATAGAAATGATTAAATTTAATATTTGGATATCATATAATAATGTTTATATCACTTAAAATATATATTATATTGAAATCAATATTGCTTATAATGGCAAAAGGGTTCAATATAACAAAGATTAGCAGAGAATATATAAATAGATATAAATAAATGATTAAGATAAGTATAATTTAATGGCAAATTCAAAAAGAAAAAGAAACACGTAGGTGGATGTGTTGGATTTTTTTTTTGTAAAATGAAAGTTTCCATGGTAACTGTATATATCAAAACAGCCAGACTTTCTTAAAAAATCAAAACACTGCTTAATACACACAACAAGCATGATTGTATGCATAAATGATATTATATTTCAATTATGTATGAAATAAAAAATAATCTGAATCTGTTCAAAGTTTTTCATATTTCTTAACAAAAAAATGAGGAAAATAAACATGAATTATGTATATAAATGAAGATATCAAAAGATATTCTTACAAAGAATTTTCTATATTTTCATATATAAGGTAAAATTTCATAGTAAATTCAAAAAGAATAAGAAAAATATGTATTGACAGGTTAGAGTTTTTGTAAAAACGGGCAGTTTCTATGATAACCCCATCTGCCAAAATGACCTCTGTTTTTTCTTAAGAAATAACAGTATTATATCAAAATGCATTGGTATATAATTATTTTTTATGTTATATGAAGAAAATGGTACTACAAGTCTCCCATATTATTTCTTCACTCAAACGACATACGAGAGAACAATAAGTAAGTATTCCGCAAAATATAAATAAAGATTGGAACTTTTCTGTAATAGATTTTTAACACTTTGATATTTGACGACATTTTCCTTCGTAGCAACTCTTGAATATATTAAATGAATTTGACACAACGTAATTAAACTGCCTACTTCAATCTATATCAAGGGGAAAAAATATGGTTCATCTACTTGTAATAAATTAACCATGGAAGCTTGAATTGACCCCCATCCCCTATATATATAACATTCCATATATTTGTGTTGAAACAAGTAACTGCACGTTTAAAACAGGTTTATCACGTCATAATCTTGATATACCTCCATTATTGTAATCCGAAAAGAAGCAATTACTGGTTACTTAATACAGCATATATACTTGAAGTTCATATAATTATCAATGAGGAATCGCTTAGCGACAAATTTTATTATATTCGCGTAACTACATAAACTGATTCAATACACTTTTCAAATTCGAGCATGGGCTGCATGTAGAATGTTTCTGTTCTTTTTATTTCCTGCGACATGGTATAAAGATAGCTTCCTTATGGCTGCCAGATTAAAAATTTATTTTTACTAGATTGTAAAGAGGATGTTTAAAGGTAATTTTCTTGCAGTCGTGTTTGCTTATTTGTTCTAATTCTATTTTCTGTTTAAAATATTTGTCATGGTTGAATTTCTTTTAGTTCACAATTCCCTAGTTATTTATCAAAGATGCATTCCTAATGGCTGCCAGATTGAAAATTAACTTTCTAATTGGTGTATTAAAGGTAATGTTCTAACAGCCGTGTTTGCTTTTTCATTTTAATTTTATTTTCTGTAAGAAATATTTTGTCCGTTTATTACCATACTGCTCGTTTTGGTCATATATTGCACTGATCTGGCGTAAGTAATGCACATTTTCCTTTGTAAATAAAATGTTGCTGCGTTACAGTTACACACAATGTAATTGTTTAAATTGTTTGTCATATAAATGTGTGTAAAGTGTGATGATACGTGATATTTCACTCTCTCAATTTTACTGTTTTCCTGCAAAACAGTTGTGACAAAGTGTATCTAAATAGCAGGCTGAAATTATTATTTGACAAAAAAAAAATTTAGACAGCAAAAAAGGAAAGCAAGTGCTTAACCAGACAGCCATTTGAACCCGTGCTCACAAAGCATAAAGTATAATACACCGAATCATCACACGATAGGATTAAATAATAGTATTGACTAGGGGAATTTGTTATGAATAAAAACTTTAACTTGGGACAATATCCTGGACTTGGATTTACAAACATTGGGACCACAACTCTAAGTGCGTCACTAAACCCATATTCAATCTTGAGCTAAAAATCATCAAAATAACCTTTCTGACTAATTACGGACCAAAACAGTAGCCACTAGAATGTTAACAAGATTTTTCTATTTTTTGCTCATGTGACCTATTTTTCAACCGAAATGACCTATGTTCGAGCTCGTTCAAGCAATTACTTGCACAAATATCTTGACCAAGTTTGATGCCATTTGATGCAAAAATGTGATCACTAAAGTTTTAACGACGGAAGACGGACATTCAACGATCCCAAAAGCCAGCTCAGATGAGCTTATAAAAAAAACAAGCCAGCCAAACCGTGTGATGCTCCCATTATAGGTTTTGGACACAGAGTAGTTTCTTGTTGATATCTCTTGTACTTTCAGAGTTATGTCCCGGACAAAGGTCAGTGTAAAAATGAACTCTAAAATTAGACAAGACAGAGTTAGTTTTTTTTGCGCTGCACTTCTACTCAATGAGATCTATCTATCTTCAAAATTTCTTGTTGATACCTCTTGTAGTTTCAGAGTTATGTCCTACACAACAAAAGCAGACGGATGTGTGGACAAAGCGCATATAAACCAAGGTGAACAACTAAAATTTGTATCAAAAGCTTTTATTTAAGAAATCAAGTTATTGATAACCAATTTAATGACTTTATAAATGGCAACATGAACTATAGTGTTTATGTTCTTAAAAAGAGATGACCACTTTAAAATGACATGCTTTAAATGATGGTAAAAATTAAAAAAAATATGTTATTAAAACATCACTGATTCAAGGTTTTATAACATTATCTCAAAAAGGTTCCATAAAACATTGACATGTCAACCAAAATGCAAAATATTAAATGTCATGAACACAATAAATCTAGTTTCCTTCTTGTTTCATGCCAATTGGTTCAACTAATTTTAATACATATTAAGATACATGTATATAACAATTACCTGACACTTACATTGTACAACTTCTTTAATTCTCACGACTAGATTTTACATATTACATCCATTACCTAAACTGACTCAACAACCATTTTTTAATTTACATACAAATAACAAAATCCAATACCTAAATGCTACTCATTATCAAAAAATATATCAATTCCAACAAAACATCTTAAACAAGATAATATTTGCTACTCCATTTATATATTTTTCACTTTAAATGTTTCAAAACAGTTTGTTAAAATCACGATTCCATACAAAGTTTCTGTGCTGGTAAGATCTAATAGTTAATATTTCCATCATCCACAAAATTGTTTTCAACCAAAAACTACCAAACAATACATTTTATTATTCAGGCTACACGCACCAGCCATTTTTCCACCTGTTCTAGGTCAGGTTCAGATTCAGAATTCTTCCCTTGAGCGCTACATTCAACGAAGTCCACCTGCATGGGTTTAAGATCAGCAAATGTAAAATCTCTGTCCCTCTTTCCGAGATATGTGTTATTGTTTCCTGCTGATGTGTCTTGTAACGCGGCTGATTTAGTAACCCGCAAAGTGTTGCTGTAAGTTTAGAAAAATAAAGATTATCTGATACAATTGTGCAATTTTATTGTACATGTGTCACGGTTCAGAACTGTTCACTATTAAGGAAAATGAAAATGTGTAAGCGGCCAGACAGCTCAGTTTGTAGAGCCCTGAAATGATACTCTGAGGTATTTGAGTACCCGTCAGGCTTAACGTTTTTCTCACCAAGCCATACATGTTTTCTATAAAATCATATAAATGTAAAGAGCATAATCTTTAACTTTGTTAATTTCACTTTGTTTTTAGATATTTTTCATCACTGAAAAAAAGTCATTAATTTCTTTACCTTCAAATGTTCAATTTCTGTATTTAAAATCATCAAAAGGTGCAACTTACTTTTTTATACCTTTAAACTTAATGTTGATTCAGCAGTGAAATTTAAATTTCAAGGAACTCAACAACCAAATATAGAAATACTCACCAAACATTTGATTATTTAATGAAGTACCACAAAACAAATCACTCACCATTTTTAAAGGGACTCCACTGAGGTTTTTAGGCATGATGGGACTGTATAGTTTTGCAAGATTTGCAAACCTTTTGATATCATATTGGGAAAAGAATTAAATTGTTAGTGTATTATTTCATTATCCATTCCAGATTTTTCCACATTCACAAATTTAGTACTTCACATGATCTATATAAAATTTCAAATTTTATATTATAAGTTTTTTTTTACCTCAGTGGAGTTCCTTTAATAATAATTTCATATTTGTCTACATATAAACTGGGTATATTATATCAATCAAGCTGTACTTACATTTCTTTCTCCAATTGACTTTGAATGACCTTTGCCCCTTTAGAAAAGGTTAAGTCTTGTTTATTACACACAATGAGTACTGGTGGACATATACTTGAGATTTTGCTGTCACTTAATACTGTGTAAAGGTACCTAGAATATAATTTAAAATCATGATATGATAACATGTCAAACATAATAAATTATTGACATATATTTAGGCCACCTTTAAAATTATTTTTGTTTTCCCTTCAGTGACCCATGACAGATTGGGTAGAGTAGGTACATGTAGGAAGAATTTTTTTTATCCCAAATATGTTTTTTGCTATCTAAAATTACATGGAATTCAAAACTAATTTTGAATGCTTAGCATCTGCTTCAAAATTAGAACCATAATTTTATTAAACATATATCCCGGTTTCAGGCGGTTTGTATTCCTACAATTCGTAAACATGAGACATATATAAAGATGTTATTCTATATCATTGACAGACTCTGCTTCTATGTTTAGTAAAGAAAATATCTTTTTATGCTAGGCAATGAATTTGCCAGTGATTTTTGTGGGTAGGAAGTGGGAGGGGAAACAAACATGACCTTAAAGTGTAATAAAAGTGAAACAATTACAGAAATACTGGATATAATATTAAATACTATACAATTAAACATCTACTTACAACTACTTAGGAGACAAAGATTTCCCTGTTGGTTAGAGGTGTTGCTCTTGCAAGGTGAAAATTATTGTGAAGTCTTATTTTGTGAAGAATTGTTATTGCTATTGTAAAAAGGTTTTTTCTCTGCAGTGAGTTGCTCTACAAGGCACAAGACGGCACCTGAGTAGAAAAACCAACCTTCCACAGGTGAAAACAGTGAAACATATGTAGTTTGTTTGTTTATTTCTTTCATTTTACACCTTTTCCCAACAGTATTTCAGTCATATAGGCGGGTAGTTTCCTAACCATCTTTGGAGAGTTACACCAGTACTAGACTACCTTCCTCTGCACTAAACTACCAAAGCATCTCCTGGGGATTGAACCCACGCCAGAGAGGTAACTGGATTAGAAGTCATTGACTCTAACCCCTCGACCACGGAGGCAGTCAAATGGCTTAAGAGTTCAATGGTTAAATGATAGTTAAGAATAGTTTCAGAGCTTGATAGGTAAACGAAATTAAAAAATATCTTACTCTGCTATATCCTTGATGTCTTTCTGAACACTAGAGCTATCCACAACAAACATGATAGCCCTGAAAATAATTAATAATAATGCATAAATTATAAACCATTCTAAGGCATTTCTTTATAAACTATACAATTCTAAAAAGGATCAGAGAAACTGTGTATTACAAACTTGTACGCCTACAAAAAAATAAATGTCACAAAATTACCTTTATTACAACAGAATGTCAGTTATTCATAAAGTACATGTGACCTGTCACAGTCATAATCATTCTAGTTATATATGCAATTCAAATGACATATTATACATTATAGTTATTGTTTTTTGTTAAAATATTTCATATGACATAACTGCAACTTTTAACTACCTGGTTTATACCATTTAACATACTTAAATGGTATACTCAAGGGCCATAACTCATAAGAAGCCGTCCATTTAGCTCAATAGGTAGAGCCTTGGACTGGAATCGGGCAATCCGGGTTTGATTCCGGGACGGCGCAGGTCACTTTTGCTGTGATTGATCATGAAATCCTTTCTACGGTCATTCGCACTGTACCTAAGCTCTGGCATGTACAGCATTTTCAGTACCTTGCAAAAATGAAGGCAACTAGTACTGTTTAACTGCTTGACAGCTTGCCCAGGAATGATGTGGTGGTTGAACTGTGCTCTGGTGAATTCAATGTGGCTTACTGTAGTTATCCAGAGTGAAAACTACCAACACCACCAAATAACTCATGAGAATAATGTAATAATATTATATCTAAGATTATTTTGGTTGGGTTTATGGTGCACAAACACAGTATAGGTCATACATCGACTTTCCAGCTTAACTGATAGAAGAAGACCTCAGGTGCATCTCTATTCATTTTTTCAGGCACAAACTGGCACGCGAGTAGAACCGCTGTCATTCTGTAAGCTAGATGGAACCAAAAAACAAGTATATAGAATATGTGCATTTTGACAAGATACTATTGGTAGCTAAAATATTTTTTATTTAATATTGAAATCTCTTGAACTTTGAGTGGACAGTCCGACTGTTCTATATTCAAAACGGGGCATTACACCAAACACAGAAGGTTTAAGAGTTAATAATGTAACTGAATTTCTGATATTTTACCTTGTCAGATCTTTGTGTGTTTCCATCATTTGAAGTCGCACTCTTTCATGGCCAGGTAGATCAATTATCCTTAAAGTTTTACCCTGAAATATGTAATTAAATCAGTAAGATCAACAAAATGTTGATAATCCCTTACATTTTAATTAACTCTGAGGTCTGCCAGTCTGACAGCATGATCTGGTATTCTCAGTTTTTCTGATAGGTAAACAAGTTTTCTTGAAGGGATTAAAAGAATCTGTAATTCTGTAAAAAAATCCATGCCAGCCTTAGTTAAGTAAAATATTTGAAATTATGTACAATTTGATGAATAAAATTAGTGTTTTTAAGTACATTAAGGGGTGGGGTGGTGGGGGGATAGGGGCGGTGGGAGCGGATTGACTATGAAACAAGATCTATCACACGAAATAGATTCTTTACTGTCTGACTTTTTATAAACAAAAACATATTTGAAATCAAAATTCATGGATGAATCAAGAATCTTGGTGCATGTTTTAGTCTGAAATGCAGCAAGATGGGAATTCAAAGACTTCTTCCACCATGTTAACAATGTAATCATAAGAAATTTTATTTATTTAAGTCATTTAATATAGCAGGCCCCTAGGGAAAAAGTAAGGTCTTCATAATTGGCTAATAAAAATAAATGGTCTATTATACATTATCTTCTTTTCTTTTTAAAAAAAAAAGTACATATACTTTACCGTATCTGGGATAGTGTATGTTCCAGAATTTGCTGATATAGATGTAAATGTAGCTTTGTATTTCCTATAAACCAGCTGAAATAATAAAGTATTAATAATTGATTACATCAATTGATTATTCTGATAAGTAACAAAATGACTGGCTGTACATAAATAGCTAAACTCTCTGACATAAGAACAAAACAATCAATGCTCATAGCCCTTTCCCTCATACAGTATGCATTTACCTTGAGCGTCCTCATTTTGAAAACATGTTTGCAATCAAATTTAGAGACCCTTGCATGTGGTAATACATGTAGATAGAGGTGTCCAAAATCACTTCTATGAGCAGGGTGACCGTGTCCGTTTGACCCTTGAAATGACGCTTTGACACTTCAAATTTCCAAGACCTGATTTGACCCTCAGGATTTTAACTGCAGCGTCAAATTTTGTTAAAATTATGGGTATTTGCCCTTGTAGTTGGTAAAACTGGTCAAAACTGGTCAAAATGACCCTTAGGATTTCATGGCTAGTGAACAACCTGATAAGGGAAAGGTTTACAATCAACTTTTAATCAATACACTTAAACAATCTGTGCTTTTAAATGTATGACCATGAGGCAAATTTTATACAGGTCGAAGAACTGTTTCTTTGCAATTACCCAATGCTCAGCATAATTATTTTTATATTTTAAAAAAATGTAAAAACATAATCGTGAATATTTACAAATGATTATTAATAACATTTAGTCATTCCTGAAACAGTTTTGTAAGACAAATGAGACAAAATTGAGCCGCATCATGACAAAACCAACAAAGTGGGTTTGCGACCAGCATGGATCCAGACCAGCCTGCGCATCCACGCAGCCTGATAAGGATCCATGCTGTTTGCTGTCAGTTTCTCTACTTGTAATAGGGTTTGTAAGCGAACAGCATGGATCCTGATCAGACTGCGCGGATGTGCAAGCTGGTCTGGATACATGCTGGTTGCAAACGCATTACGTTGGTTTTGTTGTGACGCGGCTTAAATTTT